AGGAGAGCACAGTGCCTCACAGTGGACAGCAGCTGGAACAGCAGCTGGAACAGCAGCAGTCAGTGGACTTCATCTTAACTCTTAAAGATGACAAGATGCTCCACAGCAGCGACCGACCTCTGCTTTAGAGCTGCAACTAATGGTCGATTAATCCATCAACAGACATGTAATCAGTAACTATGTTGATTATTGATGAATCATTTTAGTATAAATCTTAAACATTTCCTGACAGACTTGATACTTTTTACTGTACATGACAGTGAACTGACTCTGACTCTGAATCACTTGAAACTAAACATCTGAAGATGTCAGAATATGTGAGAAAATAACAGTCAGATTAACTGAAGGTAGTGTCGAGTGTCTAACCTCCTCTCCACCTCCCCCCTGTCCTCCTCGCAGATCTACCAGTACATCCAGAGCAGGTTCTACCGCTCTCCGGAGGTCCTGCTGGGAATGCCGTATGACCTGGCCATCGACATGTGGTCTCTGGGATGCATCCTGGTGGAGATGCACACTGGAGAGCCTCTGTTCAGTGGCTCCAACGAGGTAACAGCAACTCCTCCATCAACAGAGCTGAGTGATGAGGCAGTGTCATCGTGGTTTAGGCTGTAGTTTGTTGTTGGTAGTTAGTTGTTAGTTATGTGTACAGGAAGTCAAGGCTAACATTGTGTGCTCATGAACAGCTCAAACATGAGCTATCATCTAAATACATCACAGCAGGGAGAGTAGAGCTGTTGAATATTAGACATTAATAACAATATTCAATATTTTCCTCGTTGGCTCTGCTCAGTGTCTTCTGGGCATGTGAGGAGTTTGTTCACATAACGAGTCTCATTAAGACTGATTACTGTCATTCAGGATTTTACAGTACTGCAGCATGTTGCCTCCTTAATCCAAATGTGATATTTAAACAATACAAAGACTCATTTTCTGTGTGTGTGTGTGTGTGTGTGTGTGTGTGTGTGTGTGCAGGTTGACCAGATGAATAAGATTGTGGAGGTCCTGGGGGTCCCCCCCAGCCACATGCTGGATGCAGCTCCTAAAGCCAGGAAGTATTTTGACAAACTGTCAGACGGTCTGTGGACAGTGAAGAAGAACAAGGACATCAAAAAGGTTTTCATTCAGCTCCATTCACACTTTCATTTACACGTCTGTCCTTCAGTCTAGCTGTGGTGGTTCATCCACTGACTGTCAACAACAGACACCACAGTAAATAAAACACTCACAGTGCGTCTGCTCCAGGCTGCTGCTCAAGGCCCCGGTGACAGTGAAAGTACCTGATTGAAAAGATGTTTACATGCTGACAAAGAAAAAGTTCAACAAAGACTCTGACTGAATTCAAAATGTAAATATTATTCTGCAGGCAAGACGAGAGTTGAACAATTGTCCAAAACCCAGTCGGCAGATTGTCAGGGCCTGTCTCAGTGTCTGAGAGTTAACCCAGTAAACCTCAGCACATGTTCACATGGTGTGACGACACTGTTGCTGTACAGGAAGTGCTTCAGTGCAGATGTGTGTCTGTGTTGGAGCAGTGAGTCTGTCACCACCTGTTTATCTACATGGAGGATCCTGAATTCATATTCTTCTGTGCTGAAATGTTTGTGTGTTTCCAGGAGTATAAGCCTCCAGCCACGCGGCGTCTCCATGAGATTTTGGGTGTGGAGACTGGGGGCCCCGGGGGCCGGAGGGCAGGGGAGCCAGGACACGCCCCCTGTGACTACCTGAAGTTTAAAGGTAAACCAACACTGCAGCAGTAGACACTAGACTGGTTGACCAAACATTATCAGATGATATTTATATTTATATAAATAAAAAATAAATAAATATATTTGTATTATATATTTGCCACAGTGATGAATACTATATAAATGATGAAATGTTCCTTTAATATCTGCATGAACTTTACACACAGATACAAAAACCAGTGTCCAACTTCCCCTTCAGTTAAACTACTGAAAACTCACAGACAGTTGGGAGGAATCAGCTGCACTGTGATGTCTGACATGGTGCATTCATCATAAAGGACATTTACACACACACTCTGAACACCTGTGTAAGCTGGCCTCTCCTGTAGAGGTAGACACTGAAGGCTCCGCCTCCTTCAGACAGCAGGTGTCCAGACAGGAAAGGAGATTATTCTGACTTTTTGACCACAGCCAATGTTCATTCACACAGAAGAACACGTGTCTCTGTCAGTGTTTGTTAAACTTTCTCCTCATCATCATGTTTGTCTTGTTCCAGACCTGATCCTGCGTATGTTGGACTATGACCCTAAAAGCCGCATCACGCCATTCTACGCCCTGCAGCACAATTTCTTCAAGAAGACGACAGATGAAGGAACCAACACCAGTTCATCTACATCCACCTCTCCTGCCATGGACCACTCCCATTCAACCTCCACTACTAGCTCTGTCTCTAGCTCTGGTAAAGCACACTCAGCCTGATCCACACACTCAGTCACTCCGTTCTCCTCCAGGAAAATGAGTTTAACATTATTCACTCACATTACCTCATGGAGGAGCTGAGGTGTCCCAGGTGGGGTGAGATGGGAGAACAGGGTGGTGTGTCTCCTGTAGGTGTCAGAAACAGACTCATTCTCCAGTGGAACAACAAACAGGTGAAGCTGGTGCTGGCTGAAAGCAGACTGTAGGCGGGTCAGGTTCCTCTTCACCTGAGGGGCCAGTCTGTAGTGTTGGTCCAGTCTTCATGTTGCTCATAGATCAGTCTCATGTTAGACTGTTTCACAAAAATAAAAACTCATTTTAAACCAAAAAAATTAAACACCTCAGGCCTAAGACCAATGTTACCATGGTAACAATCAATGACACCTGCACTGACCAGTACCACCCAACAACAAGAAACAGGAAAACAGGCTCTTAATTTGTGATTTTCTGACACTGTTATGGAGAGAGCAAAGAGAAGGGAAAGAGTTTTCGGGACTAAACAGATTTTTATTTTTATTGTTTCTCTCTTCACTAAATTTACAAAGTAAAGTCACTATGAATCAGAACTACAAGTACAGAGATCTTTTTCTTTGATCCAAAAAGTGAACCAACCAGCAGATTCAAAACCACAGTGAGAGATCAGATCAAGTTAGCTGTACTGTGAGTGTAATGATGGTGTGTTTTATCTCCAGGTGGCTCCAGTGGTTCTTCCAATGACAACCGCAACTACCGCTACAGTAACCGCTACTACAACTCTGCTGTTACACATTCAGACTATGAGATGACCAGCCCTCAGGTACACACCACACACACCACTGACCAGCTTCACTCACACACACACACACACACACACACACACAGAGTTAACGACCATCCACAGCCCTGATCTACAAACAGAACATTGATTATGATATTATCATTATTAATATTGTTATTATTTGTTTGTAATGTGTCTCTACACTGTTGGTGTAGCCTTCACAGACCCAATCATAGTAAGTGGCAAAATAAAAGAACCAGGACTTTGGGTTCAGTGTCAGTGACACATTTAGATCCAGGAACTAAAGCGGGTGGAAACCAGCAGAACCAGAGACAACAGATGATGTAGATGGTGTTGATGGTGTTCTGTTGGGGTTCTGTAAGTTCCTCCGTCAGAGAAGGACCCTGAATGTGTCTCACCTCTGTGTTTCTGCCCCCCCCTCACCAGGCTCCCTCCCAGCAGCAGATGAGGATGTGGCCGGGCAGTGATGGTGGAGGTGGGGGTCAGGACCCAGCATACACCCAGTTGCTGCTCCACAAGCCGGCTGCCTCCCAGCAACACCAGCGCCACTTCCTGGACGCGCCCCACCACCCCCACCCAACTTACTCCCACCACGGGAACGGTGGGCGTGGCCTGCGGCAGGGCGGACAGACGGGCATCGGTGGAGGGGGGGGGCAGCAGGGATCCTCGCCCCAGATGAGTGACAGCATGGATGTGGGCGTGTCCCTAGGGCTGCACCACCTGGGGGCGGTGTCTTCCATGGAGGCCTCTCAGTTTGGCTCAGCCTCCCTGCCCCTCGCTCTGCCAATTGGACTGTCTGCCTTCCGGACTCGGACGGCCCCCACCGCCCCAGGGCCACAAGCCCCGCCCCCTGAGGACTACTACCCTGCCTCCAACAACAATAACCCCGCTGCGGGGGGCAGAGGGAGGCCGGACTCAGACGAGGGGCCAGCCAACTCTTGATAAAACCTGAACCATGCCCTAAAGCCATACAATTTTAACTACAACTACTACAACTACACACATACAGCCAGAGTTCAGAGACAAAGAGGTGAACTTTGTGCTGAAGGAGACAGTTTGTACTGCATGAGAGGAGGAGGAGGAAGGAGGAGGATGCTGGGAAAACTCTCCTTTTATCCTGTTTTAGTTTGTTGTCTTCTGTTGCGACTGTAATTGGAAAGGAATGATTGTGACAGGTTTGTTTTTATTAATATTATTATTGTTGTTTAATATTATTTGATTTTTCTCGGGTTTGAGGAGTTGTGTGTTCTACTTGGTTGTTGTTTAAGCCTGGAGAGGAGGAGGAGGATGAAGAGGAAAGAGAGAGGAGCCATGCTTTTCCATTTTACTCCATATGGTGGCTGTAAGAGGACGGAGAGTACACGTTCATGTTCACACTGGTTAGTTATGACATTAGCATATTCATATGTGCAGCCCTTAGAGACGAGCAGTCTTTACACACACTCACACACACACACACAAACACACACACACATGTATCCAGTATCTGTGCATACTGCTGCATGGAGACGACAGACGCTGGTTTCAAAGGGAGAAAACACCAACATATGTGTGATTCAGGACTCATGGATTCTCTCTCCTGTCTGTGTTAAACTCACCTTTTCTTTGAGTTTGCGTCCTCCCTCTGTCGCTCGCCGCCGCCGCGCCGTGCCGTGACAGAGCACGGAGAGGGGGAGGGAGGTGGAGGGAGGAGAAGGTGACGGGACACTGATGCCTTCCTGGCGCTCATAGGGATCTCCTTCTCCTCCTCATCCTCCTCTTCTCCCCGCTCTCTTCTTCATCTCCTCCTTCTCCTGTTGTATTTCTCCTCCAGACAGCTCCTCCTCTCTGTGCTGCTAATCACCATGACAACTGGTCCGGATTGCTGCTAAAGATCCAACACAGATCAATTAAAGAAATAAAAAGAAATAGAAACAGAAATAAAAAAAACTTTTTAACCCTTCTGCTTAAGAGAAAAGGATAAAGTAAGAACCACTGCATCTCAATGTATTTATTACTATTTAACAAGAAAAAACAAACTGAAAGTAACCCTTTTTTCTGCTCTTCTTTGTTTGGTTGCCTTCTTTCTGCAGGTGAGCTCTGATTGGCTATTGTAACAGTGACAGTAACTGGTGACATGGGAATGCCACCGGTTGTGGGGGCTGGGTGGAGGGGAGGGGTCGGGGCAAAATAAAGTTGGATATATAATAAGAATAAAGAGTATACTTTTGCACACCAAAGTCAAACAAACACCAGATCTCCGCTTTTCTTCGTCCTAATCTGATCCAGCTTCATCATCATCACCTCAGGATGAAACTCCGCTGCTGTCGACCCACATCACAACACCACATGAAGGCTGAAGTGTTCGACACACACTGAAAAAGACGGGAAATAAATAATCATATGAATGAATACACACAGACTCTGTCATGTAACCATGAATGGTGATTGGCTGCTGCTGACAGCCAATCAGATGGCTGGGCTTGTTTGTCTGAAAGAATTTGGAAAAGAGTTGAAATGAAAATGAGCTGTAACAAACTCTTATTGTGAAAAGAAACAGGATGTTGAGCTTTAACACTTAATTCATTCAGTTTTGTCTATTTATTCATATGATCTTATTTATTTCATATTGGAAACTTGTAGACTTGCATCAGGAATCTGAGAGTTTAATGATGGTAAATATTTGAGTTTGAGTGGTCACACATACACACACACACACACACACACACACACACACATGGGTCATCAGTTATTCAGGTTGTTTCTGAGTGACAGAGTTCATTAATCACAGGTTTGTGTGTGAAACTGTGGGACAGCAACATCTGGTTTAATGGAAACCTTCAGAATAAGAGGAAAGGTTTGTCCTCACAGTGTAGTTCATCTTACTGGGAGCTTAGCTGGGAAAGGATGTGAAAACTGACAGCTGACAACTCCATTCACCTGAATGTAAAAAAAAAAAAAAAAAGCATGGTGGAATACAAACACTCAGTATTTGGCAGATGACCCACCTGTTGGAAACAGTGGTTTTATTTTGGTGAACTCTCTACTGTTTGGTAAGTGAGAGAGAAGTTTGTAACAACGCCTACTGGAGCTAGTCACCGTGGTAACCAGGACCATCACCTGTACTGTGAAGGTCAGAGGGTTATCTCTGGTTTACTGGTATCATAGAGATGGTTCACTTTTAACTGATGCACATCACCATGGTAACCTACACTGATCAGAACAGCCCCGACTGCTGACATCAGATCACCTTCCTACAGGAGCCTGACAGGGACACATTCACTGAGTTTACCATAAAGTGACCAGTGATCAGAGCAGTGGTTTTAAAGGGAGAGTTCACTTCACTGAACACTAGTAATGGTTCCATCACTGCAGCTCACAGTAACATGAGGAGACTCTGTGATGATGACTGGAAACAGAAGGAAAAGGCTGCTGGTCCTTCATTAGAATATAATCCACACACTGTTAATTAGCTCCCTTTGATTATTTTTTTTTTTTCATTGTAGTTTCATTCATTCATTATGAAACAAAAAAACACAAATACCTGGGCACAGACAGGTTTGAGCCGCCCACCTCATGGGCCCCCTTACTCTTTTTAACCCACTCCCCATGGATATTCAACTCTAGTCATGTTATGTTCTGCCTTCTGGTGATGTTGCTTGTCAATAAGAAGTCCTCGTCCAGGATCCAGGTGAACACAGACTGTACAACCAGAGTAATACACACAGATTCTATACACATCTGTCTCCTCTGTCCAGGAAAGGCTGATAAATTAAACTAAATGTTTCTATTTCCTTCATCAGAGGAGAATTTATTATTGAGTAAAGATTGTGCACTGATGATCTGTCTGACCGTCTCTGACAGCTTTTACTGTTGTTCCAGTCTCAGGACTGTTCCCTGAGAGCAGATGGACAGGAGGCAGAGGCAGTGGAAAGAAAAGAGGACAGGATGATGGTGGTTGAAGATTTAAAGAGGAGAAGGAAAAAGCAGCAGAGCCTGGGAAACAGTCAACTTTAGATCCAGTGTCAAACTGAACAGTATTTAAAATGAGAAGCTGTGATGTTTGTGTTTGAGGAGGAACTGCAGATCAGACTTCACTGAGTCTGAGTGACATTAACCTCACTTATATTCTGTTCACAGTTCAGTTCAGGAGACTGTTGTTTATGTTGTTTCACTATTTCAATATCTTTTAAGTTATTGTCTTAACAACAATAATAATAACAATAATAATAAAATTATTATTATTATTATATCTTTAATATCTTTGATATCTTTGAAGTTATAATAACACTATCATCATCATCATCATCATCATCATCATCATCATCATCATCATCATCATCATCATCATCATCGTTGGTGCAGATGTATGTAATACTCCACACCAGTTGGTGGCGGTAATGCATCATTTAATTGTTGCCAAATGTCATAAACATGAAGAGGAAGAAGAACTGTGGCACTTTATTCTGAAGGAGTCAGGGTCGGAAGTACAGACGGAAGTTTATAGGTTCTGTTGTCGAAACCGGCGTGAGCACGGATCCCGTCTCTGCGGTGATAAGTCACATAACAAGGTAACACCTGAACTTTCTACAGATTCCGTCTGTCTGGGTTAAATGTGAGGAACCCGGCGTCAGTGTTGAGGTGAGCTGGGTTCCGGCTGTGTGTTTACCTGCAGACAGGTGCCCTGTCCTCGTGTCTGTGGTCTCGCTGTATCATAAGTCCAGTCCGGGTCAGTGTAGCTGCTGTAGTTCGGGGGCCGGCGGGTCCAGCAGCCTCCATCCAGAGGCCGTGTGAGTGAGTGAGGGGGGCTGTAGAGCTGTGAACACCGCTGTTGTACGGCCTGACTGACCGGGCTTCACATTATCACAGCAGCAGGTTTCATTTAAAGCCTCCACACTGGCATCACTTCGAGAACCAGAACCCACCAGAACCTCCCCAGCACCACAGAAGCGGTGGTTTTATGTATCAGGAACTAGAGTATTGTTTACCGGCTGCCTGCAGGGAGGCGGGGATTGTAACATCAACTATTACAGCTACATAATGACAACATTTAGAGTCATGAAGTCTGCAGGTCCAGTGACGTCAGTGACGTCAGTGTGGTACTGTGGTGTGAGACAGTGGAGGAAAAGGAAACAGGAGATGTTCCAGTCTGAGTCCAAAGAAAACAACTGACTGTGAACAGGAGGTAAGTTTGAAATAAGAGAGAAGTCATTCAAGTCCCAGTCGTCCTCTCAGTCTCTGTGGAGGAGGACAGTCAGACAGACAGTTGGACACACAGCTGGTGACAGGGACACAGCTGATAAACCAACAGTTTTTCATATCATGATGAACAGCCCTCTTTACCAGTCACACCCAGTCACAGCTCACCAGCCCTCCTCACTCAGACCTGTTCAGACCTGGTATTAACATCCGTCTCAGGTGATGGTTGTCAGCTCTAAGTTCAGGTGTGAACGCACCCAAGATGTATTTAGGACGCACTGAGATCAGACCACATTCAGAGGTGGTCTGGACCACATGTGGCCACATTGTATTAGTGGTGTGAACGTGAATGTGTCCTGGGCCAGTTTCACAGAGATATCTCAGACTGGTCTGTGGTGTTGGTCCAGGTCAGTCTGATGTTAGTCAGACTGTTTCACTAGAGTAAAGACTGACTCACTTTAAACCAAAAACATTGCCCCTAAGTAACTCAGTCCTGAGACCAATGTTACCATGGTAACAATCAATGACACCTGTGCTGACCAGTAGAAGAAAAAACAGTAGAACATGGCTCTGTTGTTTGCTGACATTGTTATGGAGAGAGAGAAGAGAAGGGAAAGTTTTTAGAGACTGCAGCCATTTTTTTCCAAACCAGGCTTTTATTGTTTCACCATATGAATTTCCACTGAATTTCCAAAGTAAAATGTCCTTGTAACTTGAATTCTTTGAAAAGACAAACTTTTTCTGCTGAGGGTAAACAGAGTGAACAGTTGGATGCGGCTCCTTAGTCAGCCATTTTTTTTATTTTGAAAAAAGTCTTAGTTTACCCAGAATTCATTGTACCACAGTCCAGCTTAACATAGTCAAGAACTAAAGTGCTTTGTGCAAGCAATGAATTCACACGTCTGACTATTTGTTTTATCTAAGACACAGTCAGAGTCTATTTTTGTGAAACTGGCCATGTGGTTCCATATGTGCATTGCAACTGATCTTTATTGCCATTATTTATTTATTTACTAGCGTGTTACTCTGATTGCTCTTATTAGTATGACACTGAGAAGATGCCTGAAAAATAATGTAATAGTAATTGCAGTGTTAGGGGTACTGGAGGGAGACGGGACAACACTGAAGCGGTGCATCTCCGCTTGGAGGTTGCCCCCAGCAACTGCCCACGGGGAAGCTGGAAGAAGTTGGGAAAGTAGTGTAACAGATAACTGCAATAATCTTTCAAATGTGGATTCAAGCTCTAAAATTGGTATGTTAACCCTCTGGGGCCATTAATTCTAAAAATCCCATTAGCCACTTGAAATTTCAAAATTTCAAGATGGTCCCCATTTCTGGCATAGGAAACATTTTACCGCAGAGTTTTACCCAAGAGACAGATTGAATCTGGTTTTAGACTATGAGGATGTTACACAACTCCTAAATTTCCTCAGAGCTTTATTTGTGCAATATGTGCATAAAACACAATGTATTTGTGAACCATTTATCATGAATGATGAACCGAAAGAGTCAACAGTCTGCTTGTTTACTTTTTTTAACAACAGCTTGTCCACTAGCTCGCTAGGCTAGTCAGCAACACCTGAATTATTCATATGAGAAAATACAGGATGAACTTATTGCAAAACATAATATTTCCTTACCAGAAATGGTGGCCATCTTGAATTTTGAGAGGCTAATGTGTTTTATCAAAAGAATAATACCCAAGGAGGATTTGTGCCAAGTTTAGTACCTGTATCCACATTTGGAAGATTTACCTGAAACATGCAGTTATCTGCTGCACTAAAGGGAGGACACATTTGGTTGACTCATACAACAACACAGTAAAACAACAGGAAGTGCAACAAAACAACAACAGTTTGAGGTTGAACTGACACACACATGTTCAGTCCACACAGACAGTGTGCATGCATATTTTTGGCACAAATGGGACACCATCCCGGGCCACATTGAAGGACCGCCTACTCTGCCACAGTCTTATAAGTCCTGCCTCTCTCTCTCTCTCTCTCTCTCTCTCTCTCTCTCTCTCTCTCTCTCTCTCTCTCTCGCTCTCTCGCTCTCTCTCCCACACACACAAATACAACGGACCCGTCTGATTGGTTAAAAACAACAACGCACACGTGTTTATTTGTTTATAAAGCAGTGAAGTGAGATCTGATCACAAGTGGTCACTGGAGACTGGTGTGAACAGGTTGTTGTTGTTGTTGTTGTTGTTGTTGTTGTTGTTGTTGTTGTTGTTGTTGTTGTTGGTGTTGTCGGTGGTGGTGGTCATTAGATGTGATTTCTTTTTGCTCTTAGCCAATGAGAACTGTCGCAGTCATCGGAGGGGGGATTGGGGGTTTGGCAGCATCTTACTACCTGTGCAAGAGTCCCCAGGTTACCAAGGTAACACACACACACACACACACACACACTGCAGAACTGAAGTGATAAGGTGAACGCAATGTGTAGGTCATCACATGATGAAGAGGAGACAACATACACATTAATACGAACTGTGTCTTTAGGCTGTTTTCATCAGGTTGAAGTTTCTAATGAGTTGTTTGATGATGTCATGTTATTTGATGGTGTGTCGGCATAGAAGAACAGACCTCACTGCTGCCATGTTGCCTTTAGGATAAAGCACACAGGTGGAGGGGGTGTTATTCTCTCCAGTGGTCACTGATAATGTGACATTGATAAAAAATGAACAGGTGTAGGTAGGATACATGAAAAGAAAAAACTGTACAGTCTTTATTTGAAGGTGGTCAGAAGAAATCAGACACAGGATCAGTTAGAATATGTTCAGCAGAACTACCTACACACATATATATATATATATATATATATACACATACATACACATATATATATATTATATATATATATATATATATATATATATATATGTACATCATGTAAATAAAATCAGATGTAAGCTTCTTTGACCTCTACAATATTAGTTTTATCCTTCTGTGTGTTTGAATTGAAGCAACAGTCTGAGTCTTGTCCTCAGGTTGTAGTTTTGGAGTCCAGCAGCCGGTTTGGGGGTTGGCTGTGGTCCACTAGGAGGTCCGACGGGGCCATATTTGAACATGGACCCAGAGGGATCCGACCTGCTGGGGCAGTGGGACGCAACACACTCAACATGGTGAGTTCTAACATTGACTGTCCTGATAACCTGTACTACGAAGCTGCTTATCAACGGGCTCAGTTAACCCTGGGTTTACCTGTCCGGTTACGAGCGCGTTTATGTGAAAGAGACAAGGTTGTTAACTATAAACAACATAGTCAGAACCATGAATAAAGTTCTTAATATGATATGAGAAGAAACACCTGATGCCCACCGGTAAGTTTGGTTATAGCAATGTCCAAAAGTGATATTCAATAAGGTGAAATGTGAACAATATGATCACGTGACTGGAATAAAAAAAATATTTCTAAATATAATTACTATTAAAGTCAGACTGTTTCTGCTACAGAGAGGAGAGAAAGAAAGGAGGAGAGGAGTAGTTAATGTCTGATGAGTCAGTCTGACTGAAATGTTTACGGGACAATTTATAATCATGAGAAATATTGAACAGTGTGTGGATCATTGTTCTAATCAAAGACATCAGAGCTTTAGTTTTTATTTCCAGTTGTGGTCACAGAGTGTTGTTCTGAGCTGCAGTGATGAAGAAGAGAGTAAAAGCTTCATCACAGTCAGGAGTTCTGTTAGATTAAATGATATTTGTTCAATTAAAATTAAGCTATAATAGTTATGCTATATTTATTTAGCCTGATAAACTCTTTGTTTGTTAGAAGCTCTGTTTTAAAACCAGAGTGGACACATGCTGGTCTGGAACAGCAAAACAATTCCACTTAATTTAAATATCTACTACTTGTTATTATTGATCACTTTATTGTAAACTCTTTTGTCCCTGTCAGGATCCTGTAGGAATGATGACTCAGTTTTCCAGGTATCTGATTGGTCAGTAGTTTGGCTGTTGACAGGTTTTGATCTGATCCTCTGAAGTTAACCTGCGCCGGAGCAGATTAGGATTTCAGCACAAGTTACCATGGTGATTTAACCCGGTAACAAGTGAACCACCATAGTAGTACCGAAAACCCAGGGTTAAGCGCTAACCTCAAATCCTGCTTCGTAGTACAGGCCTCAGTTTCAGTCCGTTTGATTCTGCATCAGTGATGAAGATGAAACTACTGCACATCCTTGTCTGAAGGGTTATCAAAAACACCTGTAACATCCAACACTGTGTGTGTGTGTGTGTGTGTGTGCGCGCAGGTGGAAGACCTGGGTCTTGCGGGGGAGATTCTGCCGGTCACCCACAGTCATGTGGCGTCGAAGAACAGATACCTGTATGTGAAGGGACAGCTGCACAGGATGCCGTCAGGAATCAGGTCTGAAGACTGAGCTTCATGTTTGTGTTGCTTCTTAGTTTTAAATACAGACACAGATCTGAAAAACATCTGATCTCCACTCACAGTTTTCAAAACTTTTCACACTCTGAATTGAGCTGCTGCATCACTACAGCCTGTGTTGTTCTGTTCATGTCCATCCAGATATTATTATTATTATTATTATTATTATTATTATTATTATTATTATTATTATTATNGCTTTAGTTTTTATTTCCAGTTGTGGTCACAGAGTGTTGTTCTGAGCTGCAGTGATGAAGAAGAGAGTAAAAGCTTCATCACAGTCAGGAGTTCTGTTAGATTAAATGATATTTGTTCAATTAAAATTAAGCTATAATAGTTATGCTATATTTATTTAGCCTGATAAACTCTTTGTTTGTTAGAAGCTCTGTTTTAAAACCAGAGTGGACACATGCTGGTCTGGAACAGCAAAACAATTCCACTTAATTTAAATATCTACTACTTGTTATTATTGATCACTTTATTGTAAACTCTTTTGTCCCTGTCAGGATCCTGTAGGAATGATGACTCAGTTTTCCAGGTATCTGATTGGTCAGTAGTTTGGCTGTTGACAGGTTTTGATCTGATCCTCTGAAGTTAACCTGCGTCGGAGCAGATTAGGATTTCAGCACAAGTTACCATGGTGATTTAACCCGGTAACAAGTGAACCACCATAGTAGTACCGAAAACCCAGGGTTAAGCGCTAACCTCAAATCCTGCTTCGTAGTACAGGCCTCAGTTTCAGTCCGTTTGATTCTGCATCAGTGATGAAGATGAAACTACTGCACATCCTTGTCTGAAGGGTTATCAAAAACACCTGTAACATCCAACACTGTGTGTGTGTGTGTGTGTGTGTGCGCGCAGGTGGAAGACCTGGGTCTTGCGGGGGAGATTCTGCCGGTCACCCACAGTCATGTGGCGTCGAAGAACAGATACCTGTATGTGAAGGGACAGCTGCACAGGATGCCGTCAGGAATCAGGTCTGAAGACTGAGCTTCATGTTTGTGTTGCTTCTTAGTTTTAAATACAGACACAGATCTGAAAAACATCTGATCTCCACTCACAGTTTTCAAAACTTTTCACACTCTGAATTGAGCTGCTGCATCACTACAGCCTGTGTTGTTCTGTTCATGTCCATCCAGATATTATTATTATTATTATTATTATTATTATTATTATTATTATTATTATTATATGAGATATGTATTTCTGTATGTGGCCTCTAGCTTCACGGTTGTAAACTGGCAGTAACAGCTGATACTGCACACACTCATGAGTGTGTTAGGAATATTGTCTGTTCAGTAGAATCTTATCTGGAAGTTACTGTAGTTACTGTATGATCAATAAAAACTGATTAATATGGATTAATTACAAGGTATTGATACACAGAATTATCGTGTTAAATAATTTCAACCTGCTGTTGTCTCCCCCCTCTGGCAGTCAGAGTAATTACAAAAAAATGCTATATATAATAATAACAACCTGTTGTTGTGAAATACTGTTTGTTTTCTAACTGGAGGATCACAAACTTCAGGTTTCAAGCCATAAACTTCACCACATGCTGTCGTAGCTGCTGGTCCATGGCAACAGTTGCTCCTTCTGACACCGTGTTCTGTTGTCTATGTACACTGTAAACACATTAACAACATAAGCACCCAACACGACAGACAGCTGCATGTTGTTTCCCAGACTTTTAATGTGTCCCCCTTGCAACACAGTCCAACATGCTGTGGGTTCCTGCCCATGTATTTCATCTAGGAACCTACAGCATGTTGTACTGTGTTGCAAGGGGGGACACGTTAAAAGTCTGGGAAACAACATGCAGCTGTCTGTCAGGTGCTTCTGTTCACACTGTACATAGAGACAACAGAGGTGAAACACATCACTTCCTGTACTCAGAGCGGAGACGTCTCCACAGACAGAGAGATTTGCCTGGAGCTGAGAGGGTTAATCAATCAGACTTGAATGTAACAGATGTTCATTGATATGTAAAAGTCCTGAACTCCAGCTTTAAAGACCCCCTCCTTTGTTAACATCCATTTATATAATACAGACATATGAGGAGTGAGGTAATCATCAGCACCATGACTGAGTGTTTCCACCTTGAACTGCAGTGAACCAATGACAGTCTCATAAAAACAGATTCAGGGTTTCATACGTCACAAACCTCAGGAACCAATCCTGTCAACTTGTGAGGACAGGGGGCGGGGCTAAATAAACCTGAAACCTCGTCAGTACAGAGAGAGAGAGTTAGCATTAGCACAACCACTGACACTGTGTCAGCCACTGCCATTTACAAGCTAACAAACAACATAAACAAATAAAAGATGCTAACTACGCTAACCGCTCTGATCCGTCTGCTGGTCTCTGGTTCTGGTCTCAGACTCCTCCTCTGAGTCTGGGTCTGACTGAGGCTCAAACATGAGGCTGAGTCTCTCTGATGTTTCCTCCTCTAACCATCTTGATACTCTCTGCTCTTTCACCTGTCCACCTGGAGCCAGCAGGTGGTGGGCGGGGCATAAGGCCCGATCCCGATTTATCAATGAGGAAGTAAGAGGAGACGAGCTTCAGACCCAGCGTTTGATTTTTTTCTCACATTTTATGTGTGAAAATTACATTAAACAAAATATGAATCATAGAGGATTTTTACAGAGTTTAAAACATGTCCGTAGGAACTTTAATATAATAGTGAGAGAGAGAAATGACAAGTATCACTGTAAAGTACAGAGCCTTTTACATATGTTGTAAGTTGCTGTGAGAACATTATAGGAGGAGTTTTACACAGATCCAGGAAGTGATGGATGAATCAGCCACTTCATGAAATTAGATACTCAGACGTCATAGTGGACACATCTCTACTTGTAGGTGGATGGACGTTGATGGATCGACCTCTGCTGACACTTGTGATCTACACACTGCAGTGGCACAAAGAGTTTCTGCAGTTTTTGTTCTGATGGATTGAATCATATTGTACATGTGCTGTTCACCATGACTGTCCAAACGATGGGTTTAAATGCAGTCATCCCTGAGGTGCTGCCTCTACCTGTATCTGTGGCTCATTCATTACTCAGTGGCCACTGTAGTTCACCTGTTCACCAACACGGCTGTCGACTGTTATGATGCCTGTGATGTTAGAGATGCTAGTTGACAATAGTTTTGAACTGGACTGATTTTGGACTGGACTGGTCTTTGTTTCAGTGGACTTGTGCGGACAGTCCCACCCTTCTCTCGCCCCATCCTGTTGAGTGTTGCCATGGAGATACTGGTGAAGAAAAGCAAGGAGGATGACGAGACTATCCACTCGTTTGTCTCGAGGAGGCTGGGAGAGGAGGTGAGAATCAAACTACTGTAACATCATGTGACCAGCTTCATGTCTGAACCAGACATCACCTGCACTCCAGGTGTCCTGTGGATACTAAACAATGGTCATAGATATTACACCATCATTATCACAGTGTTACAGCATCATGTTGGTGTAACAGCAAAACATCTGCTGAATATTTTTTAGTATTAATTCATCTGCTGTAGGTCTGTGTCACAAGTTCACATGTTTTCAAGTCTGTCTTAAAGCAACACTTGATTTATTGAAGTCTGATATGAACTTCAGCTGTGTTTCAGGAAACATTTTTCTTTTCAATGCAATTTTATTTGTATAGCGCCAAATCATACCATCCATTTTCTCAAGGCTCTGCCTCGACCGGAGGGAGGGGCTTCCTGATGATAAAGAATTACAGTAGTCTAGTCCAAATGCATGGACACAATTTTCAGTATTCTTTAGAGACAGGATGTTTCTGATTTTCAGAATAATGGTCGGGTAGAAGAAGGCTGTCCTAGAGACTATTTTAAGTTTGATTTTGTATTATATTAATTTGACTTATTAAATGCTAATATTAGTTTAAGTAAGCTGACTATAAGGGCGCTTATGTTCCCGCTGTGTTTCTTCTGCTCTGGGAGCCGGTGGCCGTCAGGTCAGAGAACATAGAGCAACAGTTTTCTGACTGTGTTCATGTTTAATCACATCAAAGTCCTGTTTTGATATTTATTTTCTATTGGAAAGTCAACAGGAGTATATTATTTAATAAATTCCAGTTTCAATTATTGAAAGTATTATACATCCGTTCATGCTTTATAAGTGTGTGTGTCGGATACTCCGCCTAACCTTCAGTCGTTAATTTGAATGGATTAGCCGCTGTGGGATCTCTTCACTGATGAAGACCATAAGTCTCCTGTATATACAGTGAAGTCTTGTCAGTTACAGTGACCAGTCACTGAGTATTGTAATGAGTTGGACTTGAAACAATGTGAACTTGTCCTTTAACAGCGATTAACTTCGATAAATATTACCATAAATATTTCATTTCTTGCTGTTGTTAATTTGTCCTCCTCTGTGTGTGTCCAGCTTGCAGACATCGCTGTGGACAGTTTGTGTCGCGGCGTGTTTGCAGGCGACTGCAGGAAGCTGAGTGTGCGCTCCTGTTTTCCTGTGTTGTACAACGCAGAGCAGCACAGAGGTTCCCTGATCCTGGGTATGCTGCTGGGCTCAGGTAAACTCCAGCATCACTGAACTGATGTCACTGTTGTGGCCATTTTGTTGTGTTTCATTTTCTCCTGTAGTTTTGTGAGGGTGCAGGAGCGTGACACAAAACTTGTGTGTATGTGTGAAACCCCGTAGGTCCCGGTCCTGCGGTCCCCCCTGGCCCTCTGGCTCAGAGATCTGTTAAAGAGTCATGGGCCCAGTGGTCCCTGAGCAAGGGGGTGGAGTCCCTCCCAGAATCCATCACTGACTCCCTCCTACAGAGCAGGAGGGTGGAGCTTCACAGAGATGCAGGTGTTAAACACATCTGTCCTTCAGCCTCTGGTTGGAAGGTTAGTGAGGAAACAAACTGAGTTTAGTGAAGCTGACAATGTGAATGTGATGTTCAGATTTAACTGGTTTGACCTGCTGAATGATCCATTTAATAACCCAGCAGGAAGTGCTCATGTTCTCAGTGTTAGTGTCACGTTGGTGTCGGGGCTCTGACTGCACGGTCAGTCCACCACTTTGGTCCACACTGAAAAATCCCAACAACTGTTCAACAGACTGACCTGAAACTTTGTACAGAGGTTCACAAAGGAGGATGTTCACTTGGATGGCCATGAAATTTAGTACAGTGCACTCATGCTCCCAGGACAATTATGGAGTCATAGGAGTGTCATAAAATAAAAAACAAATAAATAAATGAAAACAGGAATAAATAAAAGAATAGGAAAAGGCTTTTTTTATTGTTCTATTTATTACTCATTATATTTCCACATTATTCTTTTGCAGATTTCTGCTTTTTTACGTCTCCTATGACTCCATAGACGATGAGTCCTGGTAACTATGGTGATCCCCTCTCTTTTCCTTTAGCTCCACCAGCAGGTTCAGATTTTATCCACTAGTGGAGAAATGATTTGTCGTTAGGTCCAGAGGAATGTACAGCTCTACAGCTACCAACAGGCCACGGCCGAGCGGTGACACCGGGGCGTGGCCCGGAGTCCTGCGGTCCGTCACCAAACCACACGGATGGGTGACAGATGGTCTTGGTCTCAGTTCAGACCTTCATGGTGAACCCTGACAACTTCGATGATTCATGATTTTCCTCTAGCGCCACCATCAGGTTCACATTGTTGTTTTTGAATGAATTGTCTCAACAGCTGTTGGATGGACATTAAATCTGGTTCAAACGTTCATGTTCCCTCAGGATGAACTGTGATAGTGGTTTAATGGTTTCATCAGCCTCAGCTGTTGGTTTTACTTGTGTAGAGCTAATTAGCAAATGCTAGCATGTTAGCACACTAAAGTAAGATGGTGACCAAGATGTTGGACATTATACCTGAAAACATCTCCATGTTTGAGTGTAAGAAAACAAAACTGAAGGAGATTTCCTCATTCCAGGGTTCATCTTGTTTTCCCAAACTTCACCTGTGTTCCTAGAGCACTGGCTGTAATGACCTTCACTGTGTTGTACAATGGGTTACTGTTTGGACACCTTTATTATGGTGGGCAGCCGGAGACACTTCAGACCTCTGTTGTTGGGTAACCAAGGTCTCATAGCTAAGGAGGCAGGAGGGAAGACTAAACTTGGAATCTAGCTGTTGTCAAGGACGAGCTAAAGGGAAAAGAACAGGACACATGTGATATTAAGGAGGTAAGGACATGTGACCAATAGCATCTTCACACATTATTGACTAGGATACCGTTTAATCTTATGTGGAATAAGATGTGGTAAAATGTTCAACCAAGGGAGACCTTTGAATACATACCCACTCAGTCACAAAAACATGCACTTCTCATATCCTTGTATTGTTTGGCAACTTTGATAACGTGTGTGTGTGTGTCTGTCTGTCTGTAGATCCATCTGGAGGACGGAGTCGTATCAGCTGATCACATCATCTCTGCTCTGCCAGCTAAAGGTGAGTGGTGGCTGCAGCATGTTCACAGTCCTGCCTCTTGTGTACAAAAAGAAAAAAAAAAGATTTTCTTCCTTACACCTCCCCCCTCCCTTCTACCCCCTAGCCCTCTCCTCAGCCTTGCCGTCCTCCTGTCAACCTCTCATCCAGGAGCTGCAGGAAATCTCCACGGTAACAGTTGCTGTGGTAAATCTGGAGTATGATGGTTCCATCCTGCCTGTAATGGTAAGAAACACACACACACACACACACACACAGTTGAAGTGTCTTATATTTCACAGTTGAAGTGTCTTATATTTTCAGTGGTGCCTAAAACAACCATCTGTGTGACTGTTCTCAGGGTTTTGGTCACCTGGTTCCATCATCAGAGGATCGGGGTCTGATGGGGATCGTCTACGACTCCGTTCCCTTCCCTCAACACAACAGACCTAATGGACAGACCACTAGACTGACGGTACACACACACACACACACACACATGCGCGCGCGCACAATATTGATAATTGCAGCTTTAAAGCAAAGCGTTGCTGCTTGTGATGACACACAGTGACAAAGCAGCACATGTCTCCTAGGTGATGATGGGCGGGGCCTGGTTCCAGGAAGAGTTTGGGGACCCAGATGCAGTAACAGAGAAGCGTCTTTTAGAGAGAGCCACTGAGGCGGTGCAGAGCCACCTGGGAGTCACCTCAGCGCCCAGCTGGAGTCGGGTGGCACTGCAGAGGGTACGACCGGACGGGAATCAAACCAGTGACAGATTCATGTTTCATTCATTTTTACATCGTTAGAGGATGTATCACACAGACACTGTGTATGAGTTCACACTTCACCCTGACTATTTTGTTGATATGTTGTAACAATCTTCGCTCTTTGTCTCTCCAGGACTGTATACCTCAGTATTATCTAGGACACCATCAGAGAGTAGGCGAGTATTGATCAAACAACACATCTAAAGACCAGGTGTAGTCAGACATCGTGTTAATGTGCGTCTGTCTCTCTCTTTCCAGAGTCCATGCGTAGCTTCATAAGGAAAACTAATCTCCCGCTGTCTCTCACTGGCTCCTCCTATGATGGCGTGTCAGTGAATGATGTCATCTTCAGTGGACGGACAGCTGTAGAGCAGCTGTTGGGGACTGTAGTCTGATGGAGCAGATGCACACACTCGTGTCTCCAAAGCCTTTTTTCAGTTCATCATTTCTATCATTTGGACTTGATGTCTGTAAGTCTCTGTCACTCAGGTATCACACACATGAACACCAGCAACCATTATCTTTCTACCCATAATGCCACACTGCTCTACAAGCACAAACAGGCCTGTTGTCTTCTGGGCTCTCTGCCTGTAGCTGTGGTGGTTTGTTCAACATTTACCTGGAGATGAGAAGTGACGTGTGGTCAGTACAAACACTGAATTGTGAAGTCCTCTTTTGTTCAGTGCCACTGCGTATGATTAAATTAATAATTGATTAATATTGTATTATAATATAACAGTGTGTAAATAATATGATGGGTTGTGTTAATAAATCCAGTATGAGAATGTGTCATGGCTGAGCTGATCCAGACTCTGCAGGCCCAGGTGTCTCTGCTTTGACCCTAGTTCTAGTCCTCATGCTCTCCAGTGCCTGATCCACTGATGTGACTTGCACCAATCAAAGCCTTATTAAGCTGTTGTTGTCATCTTCTCAGAGGTTTTATTACTGACTGATGTGATGCGAGCACATGTGACCTGCAGCAGCTGATTTCTATATTATTCCGTTATTACATTCAGGAGTGGAGGTATGTTGTACAGATCAGGCCTGAGAACACGTGGGCTTCCTCATGTTGACAATGAGGCCATAATGTCACAATGTGTGAAACTGAGTTACACATAAACACTGTTTAAGTCTACTATAACTATCACTGCCATACATCTGTAAAGAAAATCACTAAATTGTATTTAATTCCTCTTAAACTCTGTAAAATAAGAAACCTTAAAAAGGGAACAAGAGCTGATACTGATCCAAACAGACCACAGTGAAGCTCAAAGTGTTGCCTTCAGGGGTTCACCACTTCCATGTCATTCAGGTATATATACATACATGGCTAATCCCAGAAGCGTCTAGAGTCAGAAAACATGTCAATTGTGTTTGTTTTGAAGGAAGCGATCATTCACACAGTAACTCTAAGGTTACGATCCAGCCTTCAGAGTACTGTGCTGAATCATGGTTACATCACGTGCTGTCTGTCTGAGCCACGCCGCTGGGTCTCTGCAGTGGAGCTCACTGATGCTGGAGGAGCATTCAGAGAGCATTTAGGTGACTGTCTGAGGACAATCTTAGCTGGAGTGAAAACAGTAACAATCAATATGTACAAACGTAGTAGATACAGATCTATCAGCTTCCTGAGGTCACCTGATGGGTGAACCACACTACTGAAGAAGCAGAGGCCCAGGTCCAGTAAGAACTGACTGGGATCAGAATCAGTGAGAGTACTGCAATGTGAAAACAATGTGTTCAGGTAAAGATCCAGTAAAATGAACCAGAACCAACAATTTTGAAATTAAGGTTTTATTTAAGAAAGAGTGACCACCCAGACAACCTCAGGACAGCTCCTGATCGGACAAATTAAAATAAGACAACACACAAACTCGCACAGACACTATCTCAGGCCTAGTTTCTTCTTCTCCTTCTGTTTCTTGCGAACCACCTCCATGTTGCGGTCCTTCCACATGCTCTTCCTCAGTTTGATGGGACGACTGCCAACATACTTCCCTGGAAACACACAGCAGAGAGAGAGGGATTCACAGAGGCTGCAGGTATCAATATGACTGTCAATTAGTTATCAGTTAAAGCTGGAAGTCTCCAACTGTAAAATGCAACAAGTCCACATCAAAGGTCAACATGCAAACAGAACCAGGAAGTGATGAGAGGAGCAGGTGACAGAGGTTGAGAGTCTGTGAAGAGACTGACCGTTCATCTCTCTCATGGCTCTGACGTAGTCGTTTGGATCTTTGAAGCTGACGAAGCCGTAGCCTTTAGTCTTCCCTGTGCGTTTGTCTCTCACCACCTGAAAACAACAGTTTTTGTGAGGATTTCATACACACACACACACGGCCATGTGATGCCTAACGCGGGTTTGAGCTCATCACCGTCATTGTTTTGTGATTTTTTTTGTACTAACATTAACAGGAAGTGCTCCTGGATAATGTGAAGGTGTCATTACAGATCTCTGCAGCAGTTTCCAAGTGACCTGATGTGTACACACCCTCAAGTTTAACCCAAATACTGTTGTCTGCTGCCACATGGTTGTAAATGTATTAGTGAAATTCATTTTCATTGATGTACAGTACTGGAATTTACCTGAATGATGATCAATTATCGTCTCAAATGTTATACTGACCCTGATTCATGCGACAGGTGAGTAAAATGCTCTGGGAGCTGTAGGAATGAGGATGTGATTACAGGACGTGAGCAGAGCAGAAACACAGTAAACCAAGCCGACCTTAGCTTTGAGGAAAGACGGGTATCTGCTGAAGGCTCGGGCCAGTATGTCGTCATTCACCTCGTTACCAAGATCACCACAGAATATACGGAAGTCATCTGCGGCAGGGAGACAGAACAAAGAGTCGGACAGTGTTACCTTCATCCTGCAGCAGCTCCGCAGCAACAAAACACTCACATTAAGAGTTTAATTTTGTACACACTCAGCTGAGCTCAGTGATATCCAACATGTGTGGTGAAGAACCCAACCATTGCTGGGGGACAACTGACAAAATGTTGACATGCAAGTGTTGGTGATTTAGGAAGCACATCACAGTTTATGTTAATGATCTTTATCATTTGTGTTGCAGCAGTTTGTACCTGCTTCCCACTCCAACAGACTGGGGTCCTCCCAGCTCGTCCCTGCTGCAGTCCGGATACACTTCTTCACCTTCTCAGACTTTGCTTTCTTTTTGTCCTCTGTAGCACTTTCCACAGGCTAAAACACACACACACACACACAACGTCTTCACTTACATATAACTGGTAGATAAAGGAGTAGTTTGCTTTTCCCTGAAACATTTTTTGATCCTTAGAGACAGTTAGTGTGTTGGTCCAGTCCAGTTTAGGGAAACACTCTGCAGACGCTACACAAATGAGAGATTATGAGACACGATGTATTTATTCCTTCTTTCAAAAGGCTGAGCTGAGACAGTAAACATCCACCGTCTATGATCAGCTGCAGCTGCTCTGCCTGGAGCTGTGGCTGTGGTTTAATCTATGCTCCTATGAGGCTAATCTATGCTCCTATGAGCTGCTAAAATGGTTAAATAATATATTCATATTTTTTCGTGTGTCATATTCCGATTCAGCCTAGACAGACACAACTGAAGTGGAAGGAGTCAGTTATACGTTATGTTGCTGGTATGATGACATACTGACTGGGAGACGCTTCATGCATGAAAAAGAGGTTTGACTCCAAATCTCTAGATCACACGATGCAGCCGCGAGGCGTGAGACGCAGTGTGTTTGTTCTAACCCGTCAACATAGGTGCCGAAATGAAATCCAAGACGCTCCACAGCCTGCACGCTCACACCACACATCCAGTGTGTTCCTGGCCTAAGCTAGAGCTCAGGAATGAAGTAGCTTCAGAACAATGTGGTTTTGAATTGAGCTGAACATTAAAGTCTGAATGGACTTTCTTTGTAGGAGGAGCTCCCAATCAATAAATAAAAAGTTTTGGACCTGAGAACAACATATAGTGGAGTGCTTGCACAGCAAACCCACCATCTATCTCTCATGCCTATAATGTTCATGTGTCCACTACGGCAGCATCCAAATCACAGGAGCTGCAGTTTTTTGATAAAGGTCAAATGTGTCACAACAGACATAAATAAAGTGATGTGGTGCTACAGAGACGCCCCGGACTACAAATCATATTCTCCACATGTAAGAGAAACATGTTTGTTTGATACAAGAGCCAACAAAAATCACATCATCATCATTTCCATATTTCTCCAGTGAAAGGTAAATGAAAAAATGACCATTCTGATTGAAATTGTGACTCATATCACGATCACAATATCTGGCAAAATAATTGCAATATAATTTTTGTTGCAGCCACAGTATGAATGAGGATATGAGAGCCTCAGAGTTGACAGCAGGAAGCAGACTGCTGATCACTTGTACCTCAATGTGGGGGGGCTCAGGCTCAGGCATGCTGGGGCCAATGACAGTGCCGCTGTTGTCACTCTCCTTCTTGTCCAGTAGACCTGCCGCCATCACTGCTGCCTGCTGCTCCGCCACCCGTGCTGCCAGCTCCTCCTGAGAGATCCACATCAGACACATGAACAGCCAGCCTGATGCTACAGCAGCACCGCCACCCTACAGTATTACACACTGACCGCCACCACCCTGTTACTAACACATACCACAGTTAAGTACATTACTTTTAAAATACACCATAACACAAAACTTGCACTGATGCCGCCACAGACAGCGTAGAGCTCCCAGACATTATTGTGTAAGATATCGATCAAGACGCTCGTACCATTCTGGCTTGTCTCTGAGCTCTGACATCGATTCTTTTATGTCCAACAGGAGCAGGAGGAGCAGAGTAAACAGTCGGCGCTGCCTGGATGATTGACTGTGATGGTTTAACGGGAGGGGGGGCTCCCTGTCTCGTGGACGGGGCCGACACCATCGAGACCATGGCTCTGACCTGAGTGAGACACACCAACAGACACAGAGACACGAGAGTTCAAGATACAGGGTACATCACAAGAATATTAATGTGGAAAATGAAGTTTACCCCAGTAACGTTCATTTTTACCAGTAGCTGCTAATAAAGACATAAAGCAGTAACATCACACGGACTGATGTGGTGATAAATGTCCCTGTCTGCTGCTTTGAGCTCTGACCTGAGGGGCAGAAGCCATGTGCTGCATGGGCTGAGAGGGACCCTGAGGTGCCTGGCCCTGCAGGGAAGGAGGGAGCATCATGGGAGGAGGTGGAGGAGGCCGGGGCAGAGGAGGTGCTATCGGAGGACCACGCATCATTGGCAGCCTCTGACCACCTGAAACCGAAGATAAAAGCATCTAAATCAAGAATTAAAAGCTGCTTTATGATTTAAACTGGTGCAGCGACCCAGCACGCCTGATCTCCTCGGGCAGGTCGTTCTAAAGTCTGGAGGCTCTAAAAGCAAATGCACAGTCACCTTTTCCTTTGGGACAAATAACAGAGTTTAGCTCAAGGATCTCAGGCAGTGTGTTTGGTCATATCGCAGTTCTGAGATGTTAGAAGTTGACAAACCAGATAGAGCCTTAAAGTGATCACAAGTATTTTAAAATTGATCCTAAAAGACACAGTAGCCAATGTAAGGGGGATCAAATGGGTGTAATAAGATGACATGTTTTGGAACCAGTTGAGCTTGGCTGCAGCATTTTTTATGAGTTGCAGGAATCAAGATGTGATGAGATGAATGCATGAACAACCTTCTCCAGATCAGTGAGTGACGCTAATGATTTGATTTTCTCAATATTCTGTAGCTGATAAAAACATGATTGGACAGCCCTTTTTACATGGAGGTCCAGTTGAAATCACAGTCAAATATTACACCCAGATTTCTGGCAGAGGACTGTTATCTGACCTCTGAAGCTGAATGGAGTCTTTAACCTATGACCTTTGACCTCCTATGGAATAAGCAATTTAAACCATTTAAATGGGAATTACTCCTTGTAAAGGATAAACCATTAAACTAGTAGTCTACTGGTAAACTTACCAGGTCTCTGCAGGATGTGGGGGACAAAGGCTGGTCTCATCATGGGGGGAGGGGGGGGACGTACTGGAGGGACTGGGAGAGACACAAGTCACAGTGAGTGTTAATTAGTGTGTAAACATCTGAGGAGCACGAAGCCAGCAAGACATGAGTGTATGTATACAGTGAATGTATATTTGTCTTTATGTGCATCATGGGAGGAGGCGCTATTAGAGGACAGCGCATCATCGTCAGCCTCTGAGCACCTGACAACAGTGTCAGGATGTAAACATCAATATGAACCCATTTTGTGAATTTTTCCATTCAAGTCTACAGAAAGTGGTCTCAGACTTTTGGACCCCTCTTCATAACGTCAGTGAACCCTTTGGAATTTTATATTTATTTGTCATAAAATATGATCAGATCATCTAAGTTTCAATAACAAACAACCACAATCTATTGTAACTAATAACACAAATCATGGTGTTGTTCTTGTTCAAACATTCACAGTGTGGCTGGAAACTGTGTGTGAACTTATCGACTAATGACATGAACAGAAGCTAACTGGAGTCAGTTAGTGAAACCAGACTGGAGGTTCTGGGTCAGAGACACTTTGACTTATAAACAACACTCAGACATTTAGAGAAACATCAGCTGATGTGAACCAGGCCTCACAACAAAGATCTCAGACACTGAGGATGCAGAAGAGCTGATGAGCATGAAGCTGAAAGGATCACAGACTTTAGATCTTCATCAGTCCACAGTCAGACAAACTGTCTACAGATGGAGATGATTCCGTTCTGTGGCTACTCTCCTTGGAAGTGGAAGTCCAGCTAAGATGACTCCACAGCTCCGCACAGATGATCAGTAACAAAGAAGCTCAGAGTCACAGCTGAAGGCTTAAAGGAATCAATGGAGCTGGTTCACATCTCTGTTCATGAGTCACACTCAGAGCCCAGACCTGAATCCAGTAGAGATGCTGTGGACTCACACCAGACATCCTGAGAACATGTATGAGCTGAAGCAGCTCTATAAAGAAGAGCAGCTCTGATCAGCAGCTACTGGAAGAGCTGGTTTTAGGTTTAACCAGTTATTAAATCCACTGGTTCACTGACTGTTTCCACCTGCACTGCGAATGTTTAATGACTATGATCAACAAAGACACCAAGATCATAACTGTTTGTGTGATATTAGTGCCAAACCCTTGTTAGTGTACAGGTGTCAGGAGTTTATGCTCACCTGGTCCCACAAAGGCCGGTGGAGGAGGACCAACAAAACTAGCAGCTCTGGCCTCTAATGTCTGCTGGACCTAAGAGGGAAGAGACCGACAGAGTGTGAGGACGAGATTTAGCCTGAACTGCCAAAGACCTTCAATTAATAAATATCATCTCAGGCATTAAAACAAACAATACAATTGTTTCTATAAGCAATCTGGATAGTACATCACTACCCAGACACTACTAGAAGAGTACAAACCTGTCTGTAGGTGTTGGTGCCTATGATGGGTCTCACTACTGGAACCGTTGGGACAGCCAGGGCTACAGGGACTGCCTCTATAACAGGTGGGCTTCCTGATACTGGTACTGGACCACCAAGAACCTCCTGCTCAAAACTGCAGCGAAAAGAGTGTAAGACAGACTGACATTTATAGCAGGGGTCGACGCATGACTGGTTATATCTTTAGAGTCTATATTTGATTTAAAAAATACATATAACCAATAAAAGATGATGGTGAAAACACAGAACGATTGAATAACGAAAGTGTTGATTCTCTGAGAGACTGAACAGTGAATGGAAGTGAGGGACTCCATGTTGCTTATAGTGAATCCACTCAGTCAAGTAGAGCTGTGCAGTAACCCACTTACAACAGAGTCCAGCTGCAGGAAAAACTACAGAGGTTGGCAAGTAATTTTCTGCTGATTGACAAACTGATTCATCAAATTATCATTTCAACACTAATTCTGCAACACCAAAATGGCCTAATGCTTAATAGTCTAACTATTTGTTCTCTAGATTGCATGACTACTGAAAATAAAACATGTAATGTGTTTGGGTCTTGTTTATCACTTAATAATGTTTATATTTCTCAGTAAAACCTTTCAAACTTACTACAAGTTTTAATAAAACAAAACGTAATATTTCTAGCCTAGGTTTGACACACAACAAGAAAAGGTTTTAATTCAGTCATTCTGAAAGCTGCAATGTGACCCACACTATTTTCCTTCATCATCAGTAAGTAGACAGATGTGGATTCTAATTCAGCCCTAGTGGCTAATATCCCAAAATGAATGGTGTCCTACTGGCCCTGCTGATACTAGACACTATAAAGAGATATTCAGTAAATCTGTCAGGCAGATAAAACCTGACATGGGAGCATCAGTGGTAACACACAGACGGAAGTTTCTTCATGCTTTCCCTGAACCAACAATGCAGTCATCACAGATAAGTCATTTACATTCTCTGAGTTGCCTGTTTATGGTTATTGATGACATGGGTAAATATTTTATACTGCTGTTTCTGTGACTCTGTAGCAGTGTGTTCGTATGCATGTGGTGATTTGGCAGCTGAGCCGTGGAGCTCCTCCGTTGTGTTGGGTGGACTTTGGGTGAACAGACCCTAGACAACAGTTGTACTCACAGAGCCATCTCCGCCTCCATCTCTTTCAGACGCTCCTCTCCTGACTTTAGCGCCATGCTGTGAGACAGAAACACTGATCAGAGACCAGCCAAACAAGGGATCTATCTAGTTAAGTGACCAAACAATGTGACAAGTGAATTCGTAGACACACGAAATACAAAAGAGCGTCATTGTACAAGGCTCCACTGTTGTAATTTGGGCTAAAAATGTTGAGGCTACTTTGCAGAGCCGAAGTGATTCAGACTGAACAGTAAACAGTAGTCTGCAGTGGGATTTCTAACGTACAATGAACCGGAACCTTTCCTTATCTGACATGTTCACACAGGAACGTTATCAACCACAACACTTACCTTTATCTATGGTAGACTCCTCCGATATGAACGGTCACCTCTCGCTGACCAAGTTAACTTCACACGCTGGGCTTTCAAACTAAGCTAAGTAATGTTAGCTAGCACACCACCAGCTAGCTAAGCTGGCAGTTAACCGAGCTAAACCAGCTAACCTCTAACCTTAACGCTAACCGCTGTGACCTTCGCTCAGTGATTTCTACGCTAACTAACCTGGCTACATACTGGGAATAAACGTGGTGAAATTGTAGATAATTATTAAGAAGCTACTGTCCGAGTTGTGGACACCATTAGCTTAATGATATGTTATAGCCCCTGTAGTACCAACACTAGTGGTTCCGACTTCTTCTTTGCAAGTCAACATGACTGCCACCTACTGGACTGGAGATGCGCCACCTACTGGACTGGAGTGGAAGGCCAGCGTGTCTTTCCAGTGGTTGATTTGTGTAATTTCTATGATGCCTTTTTTTCTTTTTTAAAAATATTTCTTTATTTCAAAAGTTCCACATACACAAGAGGTCAAACAACCATAACAGTAGTTCCGTTGAAAAAGTAATTTGAATGATGCCCAGGACCATGTCTGACCCCTCAGTCTATAGAGGAGCCACAGAAGTGGCAGAGCAACGTAGCAGAATCCATCCAGCCTCAAAGAAACAGTTTCCTTCCATATTAAACTTTACGCCTCAGTTTTTTCTACTGATGATGCTGATTCTTTCTTATTACTTCAGTTGAACTGGATATAGCAGTAAAGAGTTTGTCCTTAGACAAACCTCCAGGTAGTGATGGTCTTACTCAAAATTTTTATAGAGTAAGGTCTCAGCAGGAGCTTTGGCACAGACCAAAGCAACACCCCTGTAACGCACTGGTAAAAAATATTGATGTAATGTAAAAACTAAAAAACAGTATATGTACTGAAAAAATAATTTGGATGTTCTATGGGATACACTGTAAAAATAACAAGTAAAAGGATTGTATAAAAGATGTAGATGCACTGTTAAAATGGAAACCAGTGTAATAATCATAAAAAGTAAGAGAAGACTAGTATAATCAGTAGCCAGGGGATTCACTACAAAATATGAAAACCAAAGTAAAAACACTGTAAAAATTACAGTTGAATTTGCAAAAATCAACATTTTTTAAAAGACTTCATCACAATTTCTTACTTCAGTAAGATTTCATCTGGTTTTTGTTTTCACTCCCATTAACTCTGTCTTTCCTAAGTATTTTTTATTGGTGTTGAATTTTAAAATTTGTCAAGGCTCAAACTCTTCAGGCTAGTTAAGAGCTTTCTAACTCTTTGAACTACTGAAAGGCAGTTTCTCTCAGAGCTTTTGAGTCTTCACTTTGGGTATTAGTCTTCAAATTCATTGAGACATCTGTGGATCAAACCCAAACCTCTAAAAATCTCAGCACTTTTGAGGTTTCACTTTTAGTGTTGGAGTTGAAACTTCATTGAGTCTGCTGAGGATTAAACCCATCAAAATGTTTGACAAGTCTTTCAACAGCTTGAGAGACTGGGACAGAAACAAAAACCTGTTTCTCTCTTAAAAAATTACAGTCTTTCCTCTGGCCATTCGCTTTCAAAAGTAAATCTCTGTCTCAGGATTGAACCAACATCCTGAAAACTTCTGGAGCATCATTGACCACCTCAAGCCACTGTAAACCTTCTTACTTAGAACTCTTAAGTCTTTCCTCTGGACATAAACCTTGAACACAGAGAGCCTCAGGACCACTTTCATTGACTGTCTTTGTCTTTCTCAGACTTTTAAACAAACCATGACAACATTTTAGTTTGAACTAAATCAGCTAAGTTGTCAGATTCAGAGAAAGACAAAACACTGATATTCACACTGATGCTTTTATTGTGAAAAGACAAGACAATGACAGAATCTTAAAGAAGTAAAAGTCAACATCTTTATCCTGTAATAATCATAGCTTCCGTCTTTAAAGGAAGAGGAAGAAGTTTAAAAGACATCATTTAGGAGAGTTTAAAAATTAAACTGATTTAATACATGAATCTGAAAACATGTGAGTGAAAGAGACAGACGTACAGACTGAAATATCTGTTCAAGAGTGAGCGCGATTCTCTAACAGGAGACTCTCTGTTACACTCAACACAGAGACACTGAGGAGTCAGACCAGAAGTAGGACCAGAACCCAAACCCAGGATAAAGAGGTTCAGTGAATGTGGTGTTGAATGTGTGGAGGTGGATCAGTGAGTCAGAGGAGACTCTGCAGAAGGACAGAGAGCCAGCAGGACAGTCCACATACACTGCTACTCTGTGAGAGACACAGGAGGAGGAGATAGGTGTCACTCTGTTATTGTGCCAGACAGAGTAACCACTAACATCAGAGCAGATCAGACTCCAGGACTGATCGTTCTTTCCAAACCAAGAGTCTTCACTGTCTCCGTTCCTTCTGATTCCTCTGTAACTCACTGATATATCAACCTTTCCTCTCCACTCCACCTCCCAGTAACAGCCTCGGGAGTTACAGAGTTGTCTGCACATGGATCCAGACCAAGGGTATTGCGAGGCAAAGAAACTCTTAAAGGAACATTTTGGAAATTATTATTGGATCTCTGTAGCATACATAAACAGGGCTTTAACTTGGTCTCCAATTAAGGCAGAAGACAGTGAAGCTCTCAATGCATTTGCTCTCTTCCAAACCAGCTGTAACAATGCAATGACAGATGTGGAGTATATGGGGGAGTTGGATAATGTGGCCAACATGTGCGCCATTGTTATTAAGTTGCAATACAAGTTGAGGAAAATGTGCATCCCCTTTGATATTCAAGAGAAACAAGCTCGAATATCCAAGTTTAAAGATCTTTATTAGCACACAGGCTAAGGTTGGACTGCACCCTTTGTTTGGAAATTGAAAAGACAGTACTAAGGGACAAGCCAAATCTCCAGTAAACCTCATGTTAGAGAGGAACAGTGGTAAGAAGATTTTTAGAATTTACAAGATCTTCACAAAGAGAAGGTAGACTTTCTTCCCGGTCTATGCTTCAGTTGTTTGAAACAAGGGTGCATGAGCATGTTCTGTGAGGAGAAATGAAACTGTGAAGTCTGCTCATCCTACTGTTCTGCACATAAAGAGGCAGGCTCCAGTAGACCGAGTGAATACATCAGTTCACCATATTGTAACCACTTCACTGCTACAAGGTCAGGATTGTAAGTTCACTAGGCCTTTACATTTCTGAGGAGATTTCGGCATCCCTCTGTCTTTATTTTAGGGCCTGAGCCAGTAAAGACACTGCCTCCACCTGTCTCACCAACACCAACAGCAGAGAGTGTACAGACACAGTGAGGAGGGTCTAGGTGAGTAAAATTCTGTCATTCACTTTCACAAGTCAGAGGAAGAGACTGTTTGATCCAGAACCAGTGGGTTCAGGATCTGCTTCTTCCCCTCAGCTGCCACCCATAAAAAAAAATCCAATATCGAAAAATCGGCCGATATATATATAGATATATATATATATATATCTCACTTGAGAAAAAGATAGGTAATGAAAGGATATTTTACAGTTTAACAATAAACTTTATTGTCTAAAATGACATCAGTGCACTGAAACGGTAAACTTTACTAGGAATTAAATAAAATAACTATGAAAATAAATAACTATAAATAAAAAACATAAGAACAACTATGTACAGTATATTATACATATATTTAACCTGAATGAAAACAAAGGATGAAATATACATGAAATACTGCCTATATAACTTGACTTGACCCAAGTATTTCTGCTACATTATTGCTAAATAAAAGTTTTCATATTAGCGCATATCGGCAATATTTGCACCGATGCCGATATATCTGTGATAGGCCAATATTGGCCGATAAAATTGGCTGACTGATCGGTCAGGCTGTAATTAACACTCACCCTGCCTCAGCCTTCAGTTTCCTGGCAATAAATGTATAACCAATGAAAGAACAGTGTGGTGAATGTAACTGCTTTAAAGGTTAACAGCAACAACAACAATCACAACTGTTTATTAAAATATATTTATCATACAGTGAAAACATCAACCACAGTACAACACAGGGTACACATGATAAACCATCCTAGGATATTGAGACTATACAGTGTGTGTGTGTGTGTGTGTGTGGGTGGGTGTGTGTGTGGTGAGATGGCGGACGTGATCAGTGAAGATCGCGTCCCGCAGGATCCAAGATGGTGGACGGGTCTGAGGGTGTTAGACCACGTGAGCCAAAAATTATATCTTGGATAGACAACCTTAAATGGGGCGCCGATTGGGGGTCGGGCTTCTCTGCTCACCTAATGCGAGTCCTCACCACATGTGTCTGACGGGGGAGGGACATCGAATATATATATGTATATATATGATAAATGATATGCTTATATGTAAGTGTGCGTGTGGGTGTAACCAAGGAGGATAAACGACTCACGGTGGAGTTGAGGCTTCAGAGGTTACAAGCAGGCCAGAGCAGGCCTGCTCTAGGTCGACCACATGTTCAGGCCCAACAATAAGATCAGTCTGTGGAGCAGATGTGAGCGTGTGACTGAAGGAACTAATGAAACAGGAAGTCAAACCCTCATCAACAGGATCTACACTGCGCTCCACATCACAGGGGGACAGAGTGAAGAGCTTAATACCCAACATGAGGTGAGGCAGCTGGAGACAGCTTACAAGATCAAGACCCTCCAGGACACTCCAATCAAGTGCCACAACATCTTTAAAGCCTTACCTGACCAACAGAGACACATCAGAGTGGTTTTGATGAATGGTGTTGCTGGTGTTGGAAAAACCATCTCAGTGCAGAAGTTCTCTCTGGACTGGGCAAAGGGCTTTGAAAACCAAGATGTCAGTCTGCTGGTTCTGCTTTCGTTCAGGGAGCTGAACTTCATCAAAAATGAGCGTTACAGTCTTCTCAGGCTCCTCCATATTTTCCATCCAACGTTACAGAAGCTCACAGCAGAGCAGCTTGCTGTCTGTAAAGTTCTGTTCATCTTTGACGGCCTGGATGAAAGCAGACTTTCACTGGATTTCAACAACCGGAAGGTTGTGCCTGATGTCACACAGAAGTCATCAGTCAATGTGCTGCTGACAAACCTCCTCCAGGGGAATAAGGAGGAGTACTTCAGGAGGAGATTCAGTGATGAAGAACTATCCAGCAGAATCATCTCACACATTAAGATGCCTAGGAGCCTCCACATCAAGTCAAGTCCCAATGCTCTGATCATTTTAACATAAAAATGGTCAACCGGGCCTTTTTGTTGACTTCCTTCACCTTCTTTGAATTTATTTTCCCACCTTTAAAAACAATGATTTACAGAGTGCTTTGACATAAAAGCACAACATACAAAAGAACAACACGTGACATATAAACCTATAAAACCCAAGCAAGCAACACAAGAACCCAACAACATAAATTGAGACCAGGTGGCAGAGACTCTTGTGAGGCCCCCTGGAGCAGACAGAGAAATCACCCGGAGAGCCATCAACAACCTTAAGGAGATGAACACTGATGATATCTCTCCTGACAGAAGCATCAACATCTTCTACTGTCTGATGGAGATGAACGGCCACTCAGTTCGACAGGAGAATATATATATATACATATATATATATAAAGACCTCCTGGGGCATTTCAAGCACTCTTGGGGGCCCCCTGTTGGCCACGAGGCCTTAGGCAGCCGCTTAGTTTGCTTATGCCTTGGGCTGCTCTGAACAATTTGTGTTGTGGAGTAAAACTGGACGGGTCCTAATGACTTTGATTAGTGTTGCTGTTTATTGTTAAACTGTGATGTGAGCGCAGGCCAGCGGGAGAGGACACACAGGATACAAGGCAATCCTAAAGCAGCATAATTTTGCAGTGGCAGCCTGTCTGCCTGTTAGACAGGTAATTTTCTTGTTTGTTTTGTCATGTTTGGGGTTGTTATATTAACGTAGGTAGCTGCTTCATAACCTTTTTCAGCTCTTTCAACATAGACCAACTTATGTTTAATGTATTAGCCAAAGCTAAGAGTAGATAACGCTGTGGTTGTAAGCAATGTTAGCCATGCTAGTAGACTGTAGCCAACTTTATATTTACACCTAACTTTGCTTTGTATATAATCTGTGCAGCCTATATGTTTGACAATGTCTGCATTGTAGTTGTGAGCCTGTCATTTCATTGGTAGCTATCTTATGTTTGACTGAAATGGCTTTGAATGGGACTTTTAAAAAAAAAATTATCGTAGTTTTGAGAGACTATTCAACTTCTACACCTTTGAAACACAGATTGATGTCTGACTGTCTGACCTGTGAGTGCAACTTTATGCAGATAGCAACGTGGTTTAAATGTGTGAACATCTGACCCAGTAAAGGATGAGTTTCATGGTAACACCCAATCAGGTATCACTCGGATAACAATCATGTTCCTGTATCAGCTGTAATTATGTGAAGCAGAGTATTTAAAGAAACATCTAGAGAGGAGCAGGAAGGAGTGACACCAATTCAGAGAAATGAACATCCCATAAACAAGTCTAATCAACAAGCTGTTACTTTCATCAGCCTGTGGAATGAAACCTGTTTACAGGTGAATGAAAAATGTTCTGCAGTACCTCTGAAACAGGTTTAGCCAGTTTAGAATTGAAAGTAGTAAATAAGACCAAGGAGTGACTTGTAGGATTTTATATCTTAATTCGTCTGAAAACCTCCTCTCTCTTTACATATTGTCTGGTTAAATTCAGTGTAATGTCCATTCCCATAGCTCTGAGGGCAGTAACACACTGGCTGTGTGGTGTGTGTGTGGTGGTGGTGGTGGGTTTTTATTCCGGCGCCCATGGGCCAACGGGTTAGAGTGGACACACTGCAGCTTCGTCGCATCTTGCTTATTTTTCATGCAAGACATGTGCATCTCCCAGCAAAAATAGACAGGGAAAAGACTTGTTGATAGTCAGATTAACATCATGTCAGTCACTGACACCTTTCACTAAAGTTGTCTATGTCTAGGCTGAATATGAATATGTAAATATATTTTTAATCATTTTAACAACTACATGTGGAGATTTTAGTGACATTAATAGTTGGATGAAACTGTTTTTTCTGTTAAAAACAAAACCTTAGAGCAACAGAGTGATGAGTATATTAATGAATTATTGGGGAGGAACCAGACATTATATTAAATTTACCATGTAAACTGTAGTAGGCTACAGGTAATTTCACTTCCCCAATATTATGTAGAGTTTTTTTTTGTCACTGATATCACCTTTTCTTTTCTTTTTTTTCTAGTTTCCTATTTTTTTCCTGTTCTTAATTTTGTAGAGCTCCTTCTTTTTATTTCACTTGTTCTTTGTTTTATTCTGGTCAGTTCAGTGTATTAAACACAATAATTATAACATATGAAAGAGATGTATGCAAATTGGTTGGTTGACAGAGGCATACAACCGTGAGGCGTTAATTTTTAGTTCTTTCTTAAAAAAGAAAGATTTTACATACAAACTGTAAAAGAGTGAAAAAGAAAACAGGACTGTAAACTGCCATAAATCAGCCCAACCTGAGAGCAATTACTGAAAAAGAAGTATTGACACAGCAGGTAAAACACATCAACCCTCCTTTCACTCAAGGCAGAAATAAGAATTTTGTATTTCAAACATCATGTTTTATAAATTCCTATATATTGAGGCTACTGAATACTAAAGTGTTAATTATGTGTATATCTGACCCAGTGAAGAATGAGTTTAATGGCACCACCAGTCAGGTATCACTCAGGTAGTGTCATGTTCGCAGATCAGTGTGAAGCATTTAAAGAAACATCTAGGTTTAACAGTAATTGCAGGACACACCTAACACATTTCCGCGCTGTTACTGTCATCAGCGTGTGGATTGAAACTCAACTCTTGTTGCCCGCAGGTTAAAGATGAATGAGAAACTTTCTGCAAAACCTCTGAAACAACTCAGCCAGTTTAGAATTAAATCTGACGAAAGGGACCAAAGATCAACTTGTAGGATTTTATTTGTAATCTGTTTAGTAAATGTCTATTAGGATAAAATGAGAAAGTGATGACCTAAATGGTCAAAGGTCAACATCACTGTGACATCATTATGTTCATTATGTTAGCACTTCTGGTCATTATTCAGTGCTGTAACCCAGGAAGGGGAGATCATGAACATACTTCCTGCAACTTGGCCAGTTCACAGAGGCATACAACCGTGAGGTGTTAAATTCTAGTTCTCTCTTAAAAACTTTTTTACATACAAATTGTAAAAGAGTGAAAAAGAAAACAGGAAAAGTAGAGTAAATCAGCCCAACCTGAGACCAATTGCTGAAAAAGAAGCATTTGCACAGCAGGTGAAACATATCTGCCCTCCTTCCACACAGAAAGAATCATTTGATATTCTAGCATTGTATTTTCTTAATTCCTATCTTAGCTAATGAGGCTACTGAATACTTAAGGGTTGAATGTGTGAATATCTGACCCAGTGGAGGATGAGTTTACCGATCAGGTATTTCAATTAGGAGTTTCATGGCAGTCATGATGTGAAGCAGAGTATTTAAAGAAACATCTAGGGAGGAGCAGGAAGGAGTGACACCATTTCAGAGAAATTAATTATCCCATAAACAAATCTAACAGCAGCTGTAGGACACACCTGACACATCAACAAGCTGTTACTGTCATCAGCGTGCGGACTGAAACCTGACAGGTTCAGTTTGTCACCCATAGCAGTTTACAAGTTAAAGATGAATGAGAAACTTTTCACAGAACCTCTGAAACAACTCAGTTTAGAATATAATCTGGAAGAAAAGATCACAGAGTGACCTGGAGGATTTTATGTGTAACCTCTAATCAAAACCTCCTCCCTTTTTACATATTGTCTGGATAAATTCAGCATAATGTCAATTTCAACAGCTCTAACTCCACCAGTACGACAACAGTCATATTATAGTGACTACTCTGCTGAAAACACTTTCTATTCTCTGTCTGAAATACCATTTTCATACACCACTTAATTCTTAAAGGAGGAACTGAGTTTCAATGACAGCATTTTTTGGGGGGTAAAAATAGAAACTGGGAGCAGCAGAGAGATGATTATATAAATGAATTATTGTTGAGGAACTAGACATTACGTTAAATGTGAGCTGTAGTAGGCTACAGATAATTTCACTTCTCCAATTTGTGTTTTTTTACCTGTGTTACATAGATTGTAGATTATGTAGATATGTAGATATGTATTTTTCATGACCGATATCAACTTTTCTTGTTTTTCTAGTTTCCTATCGTTTCCTGTTCTTTACTTTGTAGAGCTCCTTCTTTTTTATTTCACTTGTTCTTTGTTTCATTCAAATCTGTACTCAGCTCTGCTTTTTATTATTAACATTCACCAGAAATGCTCACTTGTACACAAAAAGTATGTATAAATGTCTCAGTCGTTATCTGTTCAGACCGTGAAAATCCTAACTTTATAGTTTTAACTGCTAAAAAATGTTATCTTAAAAGTTAATCTTTAATGATGTGCTTCTACTAATTCTTAAATATTGACACATGAAATTCAGTAAACAAGTCTAACTAACAACTTGATTTGTGTATTAGGGTTGCTTAACTATTTTTGAACACTGAAAATGTATAATGGGATTTAACTTTTCTTTTTACTTAAATCTGTAAAAAGCAGAAAACAAAATACTATAACTAAAACTGAATTAATCAAATTTAAACGAATGTAAGTCCACACTAAAGACAAAAAAAAACAGAAAAGTAACTTGTAAAACTCATTCATTTTATTAATTACATTTTCCATTGGATAAATTGGTGTCTGTCATTATACTGGTCAGTAAAATGAGAGTATATTGAGTTTTACTTTTATTATGTTTGTGATCAACACCTGCAGCTAGGGTCTGACATTTGCCAATTATTCAGACTTATGGGATATGTTATTGTAGAATGCTGACAAAACAGACATAATTTTTTATTTGTTAAAATCAGGAGGTGTTCAGATTTTACTGGCCACTACAGAAGCAGGTTCTCATTTTTCAGAGGAAATGGACTGAAAACCTCAGGAACATGATTCAGCTTTCCACAAAGAATGATGGTAAAAATCCTCAGTAAGAATCTGTTGAACATATTTACCTACATTTGTTTAAAGATCAGAGAGGCTAAGAGAGGAGTTCTTAAATTACCAGGTGATCAAGGTAGCTGAGAACAGGGAGGGAACACTGAAGGTGTTCAGATGTGTTTGCTTGGTATTTTTGGGTGTGACTCTTGAACAGACTTGTTTGTCCTGAGTCTTGTGTTTGTGAACTCACAGTTGGTGTTACTGGTTTACTTCTAAAACTGTCTGAAGTCCAGTAGATGAGTGATTGTATGGAGGAAGAGGAGTACAGAGTCTCCAGTACCCAGTCTTTGAAGAGTCACCGGTCCAAAGGAAATCCTCCAGACTTCAGTAATGAACCTTGACCCTCAGACACGAAGTAAGAAAACTACTACAAACTATATAATTCATTTTCAATTTCCACTGCCATTTTTTTATTTTATTTTGTGTTTGTTATTCAAATTTCTACTAAAATGTGTTTTCTAACTAAAATATTAGAAACTTGTCTTGACAGAGACAAATAGAAATTATTAATCAATCTCCCTGTTAGTATCTCTGAACATTTGGATGAAAAATTTTTCTGACGTCTGTATAATAAAATAAAAATTATCCAGTTTTTTAAGTTACAACTGTATTTCCAAACCAAAATTGATACCTGGATTACTTTCACTGCCTGTAACAGAAAATAAGTTTTTCCTGGTAAACTTTTTTCTTTTACATATTTTTACTGCACCTGATAAACATGACAGAGATTTAGAGATGTCAGTAATCAAAGAGCCATGGTGCAGGAGTTTAGTTTATGAAACACCAGATGGTGCGACTTGGACACGTGTGGGTGAACCATTCCTTGCTTGTGCAACAGTTGCCACTTCTGAAAGATGCTGATACAAAACTATAGTGACGAAAAGTTCTTCCTGAAGCTTGCTGCTGTATTTATATCCTTCACTTTAAAGAAGGGTGCTTCATTCAACTGTGAGTGTGACTACAAACAGAGTCACACTCTGTGAAGAAGTCGGAGTAGTGACGGTCCAGTTTGAGAAAGGCCCTGAGAGGCCAGTGGAGAGACTGCCTTCAAAGTCCCTTCAGCCAACCAGTGGGTTTGAAGCGGACTCTCCACCAATACCTTCTACATTCCTCTACCAGTTTGAGATATTTGGTGTTCTTATGCTCAGAGGGTTAGGTTAGGGTAAGTTCCAACATAGCCGTTTTCTTAGGACTAGGGATGCCCTGATTGCTTGGCCGCTGATCATTATTGGCAGATTTTCATTAAAAATATGTGACTGGTAGATCGGAATTAATGCTTCTAGTCACAGATCACCTTAAAACCCATCACCTTCACAGAGAGAGGATGAGGAGTGGTGTTTCTGTGGAGGAGCAGCTGTCCTGCTGTGCTTTGTGTCATCAAATCCTGAAGGATGCAGTCTCTACCAGCTGTGGTAGACACTGGTTCTGTAGACAGTGCATCACCTCATACTGGGACCAGTCTGGAGACTCCTCCTGTCCAGAGTGTGGACAAAAACCCAGAAGAAGACTGCAGACAGCAAGTCAGACCAACACTGTACAAAGTAAGACTGTAAATTGGTCTGCTAATGTCATCATTTCTGTCATTTGTTATATCACACAGAATTGACATTTAAGATGATCATAAATACCTCAATTAAACACCTTTGCTTGTCTTTAGTTTTTCTGTAGCTGATGAAAATAATCAGCAGATTCTCATGTTCTCTTTCTTTAGTTGGACATTGTTTCTTCTCTTTCAGTAGATAGTGGTCTGCAGGAGGTTTTAGATCAACATAAGATCAGTCTGTGGAGCAGATGTGAGCGTGTGACTGAAGGAACCGATGAAACAGGAAGTCGAACCCTCCTCAACAACATCTACACTGAGCTCCACATCACAGAGGGACAGAGTGAAGAGCTTAATACCCAACATGAGGTGAGGCAGCTGGAGACAGCTTACAAGATCAAGACCCTCCAGGACACTCCAATCAAGTGCCACGACATCTTTAAAGCCTTACCTGACCAACAGAGACACATCAGAGTGGTTTTGACAAATGGTGTTGCTGGTGTTGGAAAAACCATCTCAGTGCAGAAGTTCTCTCTGGACTGGGCAAAGGGCTTTGAAAACCAAGATATCAGTCTGCTGGTTCTGCTTTCGTTCAGGGAGCTGAACTTCATCAAAAATGAGCGTTACAGTCTTCTCAGGCTCCTCCATATTTTCCATCCAACGTTACAGAAGCTCACAGCAGAGCAGCTTGCTGTCTGTAAAGTTCTGTTCATCTTTGACGGCCTGGATGAAAGCAGACTTTCACTGGATTTCAACAACCGGAAGGTTGTGTCTGATGTCACACAGAAGTCATCAGTCAATGTGCTGCTGACAAACCTCCTCCAGGGGAATCTGCTTCCCTCGGCTCTCGTCTGGATAACTTCCAGACCTGCAGCAGCCAATCAGATTCCTCCTACATGTGTTGACAGGGTAACAGAAGTCCGAGGCTTCACTGACGTTCAGAAGGAGGAGTACTTCAGGAGGAGATCCAGTGATAAAGAGCTTTCCAGCAGAATCATCTCACACATCAAGACGTCCAGGAGCCTCCACATCATGTGTCAAATCCCAGTCTTCTGCTGGATCACTGCTACAGTTTTTGAGTGCATGTCGACCACAGACCAGAGAGGAGAGCTGCCCAAGAACCTGACTGACCTCTACTCACACCTCCTGCTGGTTCAGATGATGAGCAAAAAAGAAAAGTATGATTGTGAAAAGAAGAAGAAGAAGGACAAAAACAAGACCAAGAGTCCACAGGAGCTGATGAAGGCTAACAGGGAATTTCTTCTGAAGCTGGGGAGGCTGGCGTTTGAACAGCTGGAGGAAGGAAACATCATATTCTACCAGGACGAGGTGAAGAAGTGTGGTCTTGATGTCACAAATGACTTGCTGCACTCAGGAGTTTGCACAAACATTTTCAGAGAAGAGGAAGTGCTCTTCAAGAAAAATGTCTACTGCTTTGTTCATCTGAGCATTCAGGAGTTTCTGGCTGCAGTCTACATGTACCACTGTTACAAAAAGAAGAATAAAAAGGTGCTGAATAACTTTCTGGGAAAAGACAACCAACACAGGGGCTCAAACCCAAAGTCTGCTCTCAAGAAGATTTCTCAGATTTTTGGAAAAAATGACCTGTCTCTGGATGACTTCCTGATGGCAGCCATGGAGAAATCTCTCAAAAGTGAAAATGGTCACCTAGACCTGTTTGTTCGCTTCCTTCATGGCCTCTCTCTGGAGTCCAACCATAGACTCTTAGGAGGCCTGCTGGGTAAGAGAGAGAACAGTCCAGAAACCATCCAGAGAGCCATCAACAACCTGAAGACAATGAGCAGAGATGATATCTCTCCTGACAGAAGCATCAACATCTTCCACTGTCTGATGGAGATGAACGACCAATCAGTTCATGAGGAGATCCATGAGTTCCTGAAGTCAGAGAACAAATCAGAGAAGAGACTCTCTGAGATCCACTGCTCAGCTCTGGCCTACATGCTGCAGATGTCAGAGGAGGTTCTGGATGAGTTGGACCTGGAGAAGTACAACACATCAGTGAAGGGACGACGGAGACTGATCCCAGCTGTGAGGAACTGCAGAAAAGCTAGGTGAGTCCAGACATCACAGGCTACAGGCTACGGGATACCTTAGCTACTACTAGCATACCACTATCATACCACACATTTTTATGCCAGTACATAGTGTTACAGGAGTGCAATTATAGATCTGTGGAGTTCATATTAAGGACTCTTTATGTTGTGGTTTGTGATGAGCACAATTTTATAACAACAGACAGCAGTATTTTACAGTGAACAGTGAATGCAGTTAAGTTATAATGAGTAGGCTCTACAAGGTGTTTTGTAGTTCTTTTAAGTTCTTTTCTGTATCATTTTCCTAAGATTACTGAGGTCATAATGAGCATTGAGTAAAGTTAGGGAACACCTCATCCTCTTTTAAATCAAATTAAACAAAAAACATGCTGTTAAAATTAAAGATGACACTTTACATTGTTTAATTTCCAGCATTTGAATGAACTTTTTGTAGGTTTTACTATTGCTACATAGCCAACATTCGCATTAACAGCTGTTTACTTACAAGTCTAGAAGATACCTTCTGAGTCCAGCATCAAATTTCATTCCTTTACTCACCAACAGTTGTCTCCATCAGTGGAAAGCAATGCCAAAGTTAACTCTGGTATCGGTTGGCAACAAGACATCAACCCTGGCAGCACACTTGATAAGCAAAAGTATGAAGCGGTATCAAAAAAGAAAAAACTTTAAATAAAAAAACAGACTTCAAAACAAAAAGTGTTGTGCCTATGTAGTTTTCCTGGTTACACACAGAGGCTCCGACACTGTTACAGGAAGGGATGAGATGTGACGGATCAGTTTTATCAGTTTGCTTTCGTAATCATATGAACTGAGCCTGTATTTTTTTTTTTTTTACAAACTATCTGATTTCATTGTAACAGATTTCATATATTCTCTAATCATAGACTTACTGATTGCGGACTCTCAGAGACTCACTGTGAAGTCTTGGCCTCAGCTCTGAAGTCCAACCCCTCCCATCTGAGCGACCTGGACCTGAGTGGAAACAACTTACAGGATTCAGGAGTGAAGCTACTGTCTGCTGGACTGGAGAGTCCACACTGTACACTGGAGACTTTGAGGTCAGTTCACTGATTGTACCAGTTGTTGTTTCTTTTTGCATATATTTAAATGAAATTTGTACATTATGTTACACCCATCGGAAAATGGGCAGAAAAGTAATCAAAGTAATAAATCAGTGAGCTTTTATTCCGAACAACAGGAACTACCACAGTTTCCCGCTAGGTAATGTGGGCGGAGACAAAAACAATCAATCGCTGACTAGCAGATCAAGACCAAGATCATTGACAAAACAGTTATGTATGTACATACATATATATATATATATGTATATATATATGTGTATATATGTATATATATATGTGTATATATGTGTATGTATATATACATGTATATATATATATATATATGTATATATATATATATATATATACAGTATATATATTACTTTTAACAATAAGAATGAAATAAACAATGAATGAATTAAATACTTTTTAGCATTTTAACTCTTTAACAGAACATGAGATCTTAATGTCATTAAACAATTTTTAAACACAGCTTTTCATGACCATCCACATCTTTTTAACCTTATCGTGAATTTTAAATCTTATTACAGACTGTGAATTCAGTGTATTTTTACACTAAATAGATCATTACTGTTCAACTCTTTTAACTCACGTTACACACACCTACTTTGTAAATTAACCAATCATGATGCAGTGTGTGGTAACGTAATGGATGACGGTCTTGTCCAATTAAATTTTCTAATGGTGACTTGTGGCTAAAATTGAAACTTTCTTGCTCTCTAGTCAATAATATATCACCTTCGTTTTTATTTTACAATGTCAAATTAGTACATGACAACTCAGTCTGAAATAAACTCATAAACTTTTATGAAGTGGACCATGTAACAAAACTGAATCATGTCCAGTGGAACACTTAAAATAATATATAATATTGGTAATACCAGCAAGTGCTTTGCTGCCTACAGTCATTTTTCATTCAATTCATTCAGCCTACAATAATAAAATATTAATCATTAATCAATTAATTGTGTGGATAATAACACGGTCAACATGATATCAGATATACAGTTAAAGTCAAGTTCACATACACCTTAGCCAAAAACATTTGGTACCACTTTACAACAAGACTACCCTTATAAAGGATTTAGGAATGGTTTATAACTAGTTCATTACTTAGCTTGTTAACGCTTTATAAATCATTTATAAGCTGTTATAACACATTAGATAAAAAGGGCAACAGTGACCTGTTGCTTGGCAAATAGTGAGCCTACATTACTCTGTATTGTTAAGCCTCATGTCTCATTAGTAACTCCATCATCCAGCATTTGTACCTGCTGTTTCATCACATATTTAAGTTACCAGCAATTAAGCATGTTACATTTATAACTGGCAAAAGGGAGTCTTATTGTAAAGTGTAAAACACATCATAATTTTTTAATGAGTTACCTGTTATAAATAATAGTAACTCATTAATAAATTGTGATGTGTTTCAAACTTATAAATAAGGCTCCCTTTTACCTGTTAAAACTCATGAGTAACATTAATGAGTAGTAAGCATGAACTTGTTCTTGCCAAATAGTGAGCCTGCATCAATGTATGAAAACTGTTTTATAACTTGTTTATTTATTTCATTTATTTATGTATAACGTGTTAACATCCAAATTAATAACCCAATGACAAACTATTTTGAAATTCTTAGTCTTATTGTGAAGTGGTACCATACATTTAAACTCTTTTGCACAATTCCTGTCATTTAATCCTAATGAACATGACTTATCTATGGTAGGTTAGGATCACTTCTTCATTTTAAGAATGTGAAATGTCAGAATAATAGTAGAGAGAATAATTATTTCAGCTTTTATACATCCCCAGTGTGTCAGAAGTTTACAGACACGTTGTTAGTATAGCATTGTCTTTAAAATGTTTAACTAAGGTCAAACGTCTCTGCTAGCCTTCCACAAGCTTCTCACAATAAGTTGCTGAATTTTGGCCCTTTCCTCCTGACAGAACTGGTGAACTGAGTCAGAGTTGTAGGCATCCTTACTTGCGTATGCCTTTTCAAGTCTGCACACAAATTTTCTGTTGGATCGAAGTCAGGGCTTTGTGATGGCCATAATACTTTGACCTTGTTGTTCTCAAGCCATGTTGTCACATCTTTGGAAGTATGATTGTCCATTTGAAGGAATCATTTATGACCGAGCTTTAATTTCCTGGCTGATGTTTCGAGATGTTGCTTCAAAATATCCACATAATTTTCCTTCCTCATGATGCCATCTGTTTTGTAAAGTTCACCAGTCCCTCAAACAACAAATTATTGGAAAAATTACTTATGTCACGCACAAAATAGATTCCCTTACAGATGTGCAAAAACACGAAATCTGTGGAGTTGTTAAAAAATGAGTTTAAGTTAATGTAAACTTCTGACTTCAACTGTAGTGCGGGGTTGAGATTAAAACATTAGGTCTGAATGAGAATTCAGTGAGTGCTAGCAGAGAGCTCTTTGTTTGCTCTGTCTGAGCTTTGTGTGAGATGTACTGTATGAATTTGTGAAACTAAAGGCTGGGATGAGAATAGATTGAGTTCACAGAGAGAGCTTTCTGATGTCTTTGCTTGAGAAAGAAGAGGCACAAAAGTTGAGATTTTGTGAGTCCTTTTCTCATGGAAAAAAAACTGAGAGATGGGAGAAATAAGTTATAGTCTAATTTTGTTTTTTCTCAGAGTCTAGGAGAAATAAATGAGACATATTTGAGAACTCTTTTCTGATTTTCTTTTCTCTGGGTCTCTGTTGTAATTACAACTAAAAGAGAGGTGAGACAAGTTATTTAATGTTTGGGATTTAGAGCAAGTACACACTATATAGTTTTAAAAAGTTTATGTTCCCTAACAAAGTTTATTTAACAATCATTTAACTCTTTTATCTTTCATAAATTAAACACGGAGTGTATGAAGAGATATTTTGATCATTAATGTTAAAAAGCTCAATTGAAGTTAAACTACAGCATGAACTCACAGATCCTCTTGTACTGCTGCTCATCTGAATGTGACAAAAGCTGCATCTCTGCAAGAAAAGCTTAATTAAGCTTCAGCTGATATATATGTGTATGAACTCATGAAGTAATTTCTGTTATGACCCTGAGCCATCATTTGTGAGCCTATTTGTACTTGAGTGTGTTTTTGTTGTTCTCCCTCCCTGCCTGAGGGTGTGCTGTTCACCTGTCCTGTGTTCCTTTCTAGCTTGTTATTTGCCTTAAGTGGTTGCTGATTGGACCAGAGAGTGATTGCGCCAGCTTTAAAATGGCATTTGCCAATGCCAAGCTTGACTTCTCTACTCACAATCAAAGTGTACCTTGCTATTTTGTGAAGTCAGTGTCAACGTGCTTAGTTGATCAGAGTGATCTGTGTTATAAATTGTGTAAATATCTTTTAAAAGCAGTCCTGGTATAGGGTGAGATGCCTTTTTCTTTTGTGAACACTTTTCACATGTGTATTTGTTAGGGAGGCAAAAATCAAGCATCTTACCTGCTTGATTTTTGTTCTGATTTCTTTTTGGTAAATTATTGGATAAAATGACAGATTATTTTGTTTGTTGTTTTGGCTGTGCTCAGCTTGATGCCTATTCCTACCATAATTGTAAATAAGTTAATTCTGCTGGACTGCAAATTGTTGTGGCACCATGAATGGAGAATTCTTGCTATGCTTAGGTTTCCTACAGGCATAACAATTCTTATACCCGGCCTTTTACCACCTAAATAAGCAGGTATAACCGGGTTTTTTAAATGTGGGTAAACCCACTAATAAAAGCCAATTGCCCCCTTTTCCACTGCCGGTCGTGTTTGTGTTGTAGAATGAAGACACACACAAGGAGTGATGTCATCACATGCACTCACAGAGCACACACACAATGCAGGGGAGGAAGAGTGAGTGTGTTTATGGTGTCTGTGCTCTGAAAGACCTCCCACCAGGAAAATGGGTAAAAATGAGCGGGTTTACAAGGATGTTGTGTTTACATCACTGCCCATCAGAGCTGGAGCTGATATATACCTGCCTCTTCTGCAAAGTCATTTGACCCAGGTGTGAATGCTGATTGAACCCTTTTCCATTGCAGACAAAAGCTTAATGTTAGCAAGTCATAGCAGTTTCTGACCAGTGGAAAGGGGGCTTTACAGTAGTTGTGTTAGGGAGAGACTACTTCAGTCAGTGTGGACAGCAGGAAGAATCACTGGCACCAACACCTCTTTTAATCTACATATGAAATATGACTGACGGACAGGCTGGAAAAAAATGTGAATTTCTCCTTTAACATTGTTAAACAAACATTGTTTAACTACAAACCCACTCAGCTACAAATACAGGAAGATGATCATTGATAAAGTAAGGATTTTAGTCCAAAATGTCTGATTTGATATGTATTGATTGATCCAGACATGACTGTGGTCAGCAGCATGTTATGAATCTGTGTTGACATGTGGGTGATGTCTGTAGAAGGCTGACATTATGATGATCCACAATAACAGAGGAACAAAGTCACTTCATTTTAGAAAAAAAAGTTAATTGATGAGGATATCTGATTGATTATCAATGATTTGTATCTACATGATTTCTTCTTTATTCAGGTTGAGTGGCTGCAGTTTGTCAGAGAGCAGCTTCACTTCTCTGGCCTCAGCTCTGAAGTCCAACCCCTCCCATCTGAGAGAACTGGACCTGAGTAACAACAAGCTGCAGGATTCAGGAGTGAAGGAGCTGTGTGGTTTTCTGGAGAGTCCACACTGTAGACTGGAGAATCTGAGGTCAGACACAATTTTTTTTATTTCTGTGCTGAAATTAAAACAATATAAAAGTTGTGGTGACACTAAACTGCAGACATAAAGCTGATATCATACTGATCAACACTGAGGATCTTAATGGTAAAGTTTGTTTTCTTATTCAGTGGTTTAGTTCAGTGACTTTATTTCGTCTTTAAATGTCCCCTTTTCAGTTTTTAAAATAACACAGACACATTTGATCTATCAAACAATCAGAAATATATAATCAATAGC